CATTGTTGTTAAGGATGTCTGGGGTGTTAAGTATGTGACTTTACGGTCCAGTCGAACACGGTGATTTTATAATGGCAGTTTAAAGATGGCTTCCACATTTTTGACATGCACCAAAGAGGAGCAGCGTTCTATTATCCGCGTTTTTATGTGTGTGGGTAAAACCTATAAAATATATTGGCGAATGAAGGTTTACTGTTGTGATGCATGCTTGTCACTCCGCGTTTGAGTGTAGTAGGAAGTTTCTATGACAGACTGTTGACGGCCAGGTCAGACATACCAGCAGTCTGTTTACAAATAAACCAGATCAGTAAAACGGATGTAAATACCCCCCAAAAAAAAGTCAAGAAGACGCCAAACAACAGGAAGTTTCCGCCGGAATTTTGCAGCCGGTAAACCCGAAGAAGAAGAAGACGACGAGAACTAAGTTACACATTTTTAATGTCAACATTATATCAGCTTTAACATATATCGGTGTAGGCTGGTGAACCACCAAAGCCGTGGCACGAAAGGGTTTCGGTGGCATGACAAGACCCTATCCGATACTTTTTACTTGTTCATCTTCTCATTGTGTTTTCACAGGTTTCACAGAGAGAGAGAGAGAGAGAGAGAGAGAGCGACAGAGAGAGAGAGAGAGAGAACAAAGATATGTGTGTATGTACGTAAATACACACACACGTTATAACACCACATCAATTTCCACCCCTCTCCCGCAACCCTTTTCGTTACCTGCCCTACCTCCTATCAAAATAACATTAATCGGAATAGAATATTCTAGTTTGTTTTACTGTTCCCCGCCCCCCCCCCTTTTTTTTTTTAACCACCAACAAATACGAACAGTACAGTATCTGCTGTTGGACACGTTTGTGGCGTCAGCCTCGCTTGCGTCACCTACCAGCAACACTCAAGTTGTATAGCTTCTCTGGACGAATCTCGGTTCATGACTGATTCCAGACCTAGCCACCCAAACAGTCGGTCGGTACAGGGGGCGGGAGATGTATAGAAGACACCAAGCCCCTTGGAGAGCCCTCTCTCCGCCCTTTTCCCTTCCTCGTGTGGATCGATAGGGCACGAAGAGACAGTTATAGATTTGGTGTCTCGGGCGTCTGCGTGTGTCGCCACATTGATTAGGTTGCACAGACAGCTGTGGGGACAATGAGATTTTCTGTTCCATTGAGTGAGGTCTCTCTCTCTCTCTCTCTCTCTCTCTCTCTCTCTCTCTCTCTCTCTCTCTCTCTCTCTCTCTCTCCTTTCATCTCCCCTCGCGCTTTTTGCTAGACAGCAGTGATAAGAAGGAATATTAAATTAAGTTCTCTTGACCACTATCTGTCTGTCTCTATATCTTCTTCTTCTTTGCGTTCAGCAGCTGTAAACTCCGGCAGAAAGTTCTAGCTGTTCGTCCACTTCTGGCTATTCCTCCACCCCGGGACTTTTAGTCTTGTAGAACCTGAATGTTGTGTACACATCCGTTTTACAAGTCTGACTTATATTATGCAGACTGTCGGTTCCTTGCCTCTCAGGCAGATACACTCCAACTTCGAAAGAAGTGCCCAATTAGTCGGTTCTTGCGACATACTTGTTGGGGAGGCAGTGGGTCTGTTCTTGTTTTCCCTACACAAGGGCCTTAGAACCCACACGGGGATCTGTCTGTATGTCTGTCTGTATGTCTGTCTGCGTTTCTGTCTGCCTTCATATAACTGCCACTCAGCCTGGCCGCCAACACTCTTTTCTATCCATCCATCTCTCGTTATTTGTATTCCCCATTAGGTCGTTGAGAGCCGCTGTGCTGAAGCGGATAGACACTGTTCTGTGGATCCGAAGGCTGTGGTTTCGAATCCGAACGGAGTAGAACATTTTCAGAAATGACTTTGGCCTCCAGGTCGACCCCAGTCTTAATGGGCACCAGGTACATGGGAAGTAAAGGCGGTTGGAATTATGCTGACCATGCGTCAGTGCATCTGCCTGAGAGGCGAGGAACCAATAGCCTGCACAACAATAAGCAAGATCTGTAAAACGGATGTGCACACTACACTCAAGTTCTGGAACAAGACAAAAATCCAGAAGTGGACGAACAGTAGAACTATCCGCCGGAGATTCCAGCCTATGAACGTGTGAACGCGACCAAAAGAAGAAGACAATGCTGCATGTACTCTAAAGGCAACACACTGGAGATTCCTAGCTTGTCATCGTATCTATGTATCATTATGAAGTTGTGAATAACCCATAATTATACACAAATAGGGGTCGTAATTGTTACACGCTTAACGGCTGGAATAGTGCACTGTTTATACACGTAACATGTAGTATGTATGAGTCATCATTATATTAATATTATTATATAATGTACTAATAAACTTTTCGTTCGGTTTTATATCTTTTCTTGATATATCATTATATTACGCACTAAATGTGTAGGGTGAGGCGTTATCTTATACACTAAACGTGGATGATGATGCATGGTACTCACCGAATGTGTAGGATGGGACGTTATCTTACACACTCAACGTGCATGACGATGGATGGTACACACTGAATGTGAAGGATGGGGCGTTATCTTACACACTAAACGTGGAGGATCATGGATGTTACACACTGATTGTGTAGGATGGGGCGTTATCTTACACACTAAATGTGGATCGTGATGGATGGTACACAATTAACGTGTAGGATGGGGCGTTATCTTACAGACTAAACGTGGATGACGATGGATGGTACACACTTAATGTGTAGGATGGGGCGTTATCTTACACTCTAAACGTGATGATGATGGATGGTACACTAAACGTAGGATGACGATGGATGATGATGGATGGTACACACTTAATGTGTAGGATGGGGCGTTATCTTACACTCTAAACTTAGATGACGATGGATGGTACACACTTAATGTGTAGGATGGGGCGTTATCTTACACACTAAACATGGATGATGATGATGGATGGTACACACTGAATGTGTAGGATGGGGCATTATCTTACACACTAAACGTGGATGATGATGGATGGTACATGCTGAATGTGTAGGATGGGGCGTTATCTTTCTTTCATGCTAAACGTGGATGACGATGGATGGTACACACTGAATGTGTAGGATGGGGCGTTTTCTTACACACTAAACGTGGATGATGATGGATGGTACACACTGAATGTGTAGGATGGGGCGTTTTCTTACACACTAAACGTGGATGACGATGGATGGTACACACTGAATGTGTAGGATGGGGCGTTATCTTACACACTAAACGTGGATGATGATGGATGGTACACTCTGAATATGTAGGATGGGGCGTTATCTTTCTTTCATGCTAAACTGGAACGATGGAATACCCTGAATGTGTAGGATGGGGCGTTTTCTTGGCTAAAGTGGATGACGATGGATGGTCAAACGTCGAGTGGGGATTTATCTTACTAAAATGACGATGGATGGTACACACTGAATGTGAAGGGTGAGGCGTTTTCTTACACACTAAACGTGGATGATGACGGATCGTACACACTTAACGTGTAGGATGGAGCGTTATCTTACACACTAAATGTTGATTATGGATGTTAGACAATAAACTTATGGGATAAAATACTACGTTACAAACTAAACGTGTGAAAGATACATTGTATTACGCACTAAATATGTCGTGTCGTCGATTATTTTACATATTAAACGTCTCGGATGTTGAATAACTTATTCAGCCTAAAATGAATACCCGGAATCATCCTGGGAAGTAAAGGCATCAAACATCGAGTGCCGATTGGTCTATAAAATGAGGATCTGGCACCACATGCTCAACGCGGTCTTTGTTTAAGAAGAGTCGTTGACCTTTCACACGCTGTGTACCGGTTGTTTTAATCGCTCAGGGAGGAAGCACGGAGGTGGAGGCGGAAGAAGAAGAAGAAGTACAAGAGAAGGAGGATGAGGAGGAAGAAGAAGAAGAAGAAGTACAAGAGAAGGAGGATGAGGAGGAAGAAGAAGAAGACAAAAAAGTCTCATACTTTTACCTTTCACACGCTGTGTACCGGTTGTTGTAATCGCTTAAAGAAGAAGAAGAAGAAGAAGAAGAAGAAGAAGAAGAAGAAGTCTCATACTTTCACCTCTTACACGCTGTGTACCGGTTGTTGTTATAATCGCTTAAAGAAGAAGAAGAAGAAGCACAGGAGAAGGAGGATGAGGAGGAGGAAGAAGAAGAAGAAGTCTCATACTTTTACCTCTTGCACACTGTGTACCTTTTGTTTTTATAGTCGCTCAGAGCAGGAGAAGAAGAAGAAGAAGAAGAAGACGAAGAAGAAGAAGAAGAAGAAGCACAGGAGAAGAAGAGGATGATGATGAGGAAGAAGAAGAAGAATGAGAAGAAGAAGTATCATACTTTTACCTCTTACACACTGTGTACCTTTTGTTTTTATAGTCGCTCAGAGGAGAAGAAGAAGAAGAAGAAGAAGAAGAAGTCTCATACTTTTACCTTTTACACGCTGTGTACCAGTTGTTGCTATAATCGCTCAGAGAAGAAGAAGAAGAAGAAGAAGAAGAAGAAGAAGAAGAGAAGAAGAAGAAGAAGAAGAAGAAGAAGAAGAAGAAGAAGAAGAACAACAACAACAACAAAAAACAACAACAACAACAACAATACCAAAAACAAGAAATGAAAGTCTTTTACTTTTACCTTTTTCACGCTGTGTACCTGTTTTTTAACTATTAATTGCTCAAAGAAGAAGGAAAGTATGTCATTTTCTTTTACCCTTTACACACTGTGTACATGTTTTTAATCGCTCAAAGAAGATCATTTACTTTTACTCTCTACACACTATGTACATGTTTTTATTTTTTAATCGTTCAAAGAAAAAGAAGAAGAAGAAGAAGAAGAACAACAACAACAACAACAACAACACGCATACTAACGTTCCTTCTAATATGTGAAAGAAAAATGTTGAAACGAGCTTCCAATTAACCAACACAGCCAGGTAATGCGAACCTGGTGTAATATTTTTTTTTTTCGGTTTTGTTTTGTTTTGTTTCAGAGCCTGACCTTGACCGACGATACGGTTTTGGAAGAACACAATGTGGACCCGCGCCTCATTCAGATGCATTTGATCGGAGACGGCGGTAAGTCTGTCTTGTTTCCGTTTCGTTTCTTAAAAGCAGTGGTTTTCAGCCTGTGTGTGACTGAACAGGTTAAGAAACCGACCTCTTTCATTTGGAATGTTGTTGAGGATAGGGGCGCTGGGGGCACGGACACCCCTAGTAAGTATTTTAGGATGGGTTTATCTGTTAAACAAAAATTTGTAGAGGAAGCTGCGCCCCTTCCCTCCCGGCCAAGCACAACCAAGGTTTTCCTTGTGTTGATACCCTCGTATTCCCCCTTGTATTTATTTATGTTTTCAGCAATCTTGATATGTTTACGGAAATAGATGTTATTTATTTTTCTTTGCGTTCACTGGCGGAAGGTTCTTGCTGTTCGTCAACCTTGGACTTTATTCTTATTCCATAACTTGAGTTGCGTGCACGTCCGTAATACAGATCTGACTTATCGTAATGCAGATTGTTGGTTTCTTGCCTTCCAGACAGATGCCGTCATTTTTTGAATGAAGCACCCAGTTAGTTGGCTCTTACGACATGCTTATTTGTGAGGCAGTGGATCTGTTCTTATTTTCCCCTTAATGGAACCCTGGAACCCACAAGCGGATATATAAGTATTTAATGTAAGCAGACTTTTCATTTGGGAGTGTTGGTTTCAATATAGTTTAGTGATTGTTTGGATTGAAAAGAAAACTGCTGAAAGAAATGGCAGACCCAATGGAAATATTTCGGCTCCCATTATTCTCTTCTTCACCGGCTGTAAACTTCTGGACTTGAGAGTCTCGTTTCAGAACTTAAGTTTTGCCTGCACACCAGCTTTACAAAACTGGTTTATTTGTATGCAGACTGCTGGTTCAATGCTTATTAAAAGACGCAACACACAAATCATCCTGGAGGGAAAGATTGAACGCAAAGGTAGACAGCTGCTTCCTCTACTTCTTCTTCGTCGTCTTCTCCTCCTTCTGCTGAGGTTTACAGCTAGGCTACGATATATGCGCTTTTCGTCAGTCAGTCGATTCTCAGCAAACTGGAACTTTTACTACCTGCCTGTTAGGCCGCTGGTCTGCCTCCAGTCTTCGACTTTGTTTCCACCGTTGCCGTATCTTTAGTCAATGCACCTAAGTGCACCCGAGGCATGCCCTGTAAAACTAACACCAGTATTTAACAGTTTTGGAGAGAGACACATGTATTGTCTCGGGCACATTTAGATATGTGGTTTCAAGGAATATAACAACGAAATTTATTTTTTTAACCACTTTTTCAAGGGAAGTATTAGGTGGAAAATATTCACAGGAACATAACTCTAAGGAATGTTTACTTTTACTGATTGTCGCAGTAAATAAAGAAATGCACGATAACATGGACCATCAATGTTACTGTTAAATTAAACAATTTAGTCATAATGGCAAATGAAAATTTTAACCCGTGTAGTGGTCACGGTGTGGGAGAAGTTCACTTCAACTATATTAATAAAAATGTTAATTTTCCGACGCTGTTAACTGTAGACTCGGAAACTACTGAGCGGATTGCTTTCAACGGTCAAATCATTATTTGTTTCGTTGCCGGCTAGGATACGCCCTTCGGTTTTAGGGTTTACAGCTAGCCGGCGATGTGATGCTCAATGGTCATGTCACGGGCAATCTTCGTTCGCCCTCGAGAGGGCCATTGGCACGTTGTGTTGTGGCTTACAGCTAGGCTGCGATATCTGACCTAAACTCTTCAGTCTCGGTAGTATAGTTGTGAATATTGCATCCTTCACGCGGGTGAACGGTGTTCGATTTCCCGCTGTGTGACAATTGTTCTTTCTCATTTAAAAGGGTGGTTGCCATGTTGTATTGTGGTTTACAGCCAGGCTGGGATATCTGCGCCTTTTGTTCAAAGACATCCGATTTCAGTTAAATCCCCATTAGCCTTCCCGAGACGCTTCTTGATCAAAAATTAATCGGCGATGACAGAAACTGTTTACTAAGACGGCTTACAGTCCAGTTTAGTTTGGGTGGACATGGATACCAAGGTCAGTTAAAAATCGTCCCTTCGGAGAGGGAGAGATGACGGGTTCGGGGTATTTTTCTCCACTATTCGTGAGTATAGTGTACTTTTTACTGTGGGTTCCATCATTGGTGATGAAGTTGTCGAGGGCAAAATTAAACTAAACAGTTCGTGGCGACAGCATGCGGCGCTAACTCTTCTGGCTACACCGACCTACACAGACTGTAGTGACAGTTTTTGTTGTTGTGATGGTGATGGTGGTGGTGGTAGTGGTAGCAGTACTACTGGTACTGGATGGGTGATGTGGTAGCTGGCCTCATTTACTTCTCAGTACAAATGAATGCTACATATTTAAGTCTGGGTGGACACGGGTGCTCAATTTAGTTACAATATTTCATCAGATGGTGACTTCCCCATCCTTCGGAGAGGATGATATGATTACGGGGGGAAAAGGGGGGGGGGGGGTTAAATAAAAACAGACATAGATGGACAGAAAGACGAATAAAACAGAGCGAATGACAGATAGGACAGGGGAAGAGAAAATAAAAGAGGGGAAAGCTGAAGGAAAGAAAGACAAGAAGAGAAAAAAAGACAGACAGAAAGACGGGACAATTCAGTTAAGACAGGACAAAAGAACACAAGAAAGCCAGACAGATGAAGGATTGGAGAAGCCATGTGGTGACTTGGAGTGTGTACCTGAGATGGTATTTGGCATGCACAGCAGCAGACAGCCGCTAACACAGACTGTCGGAGAGTTTTCCTAATTCTAGAAGCCGTTCCCAGGATTTAACACATCGCCCCTCCCAAGGGACCCCTTCCCAACTTGCCAGGCAGGCACCTTGCACAGTTGCGTCTGTCCAACATGTGGCAGACTTGTTTACAGATGCCGTGACCAGAAATATATCGCCTGTATGGCAGCGGGTATTAGGGGGCGTCGAAACAAAGAAAACATTGGTGGGCGCCCTCCCCCCACCCCTTTTGGCTACACATTTTCTCGGCTGGGTTTAAGGCAGTGTTTCCCAAACTTTTCTTAGTCGCGTTGCCTTTTTTTTTTTTTTTTTTCAAATGAAATTTGTCCACAGCGCCTTAGCCTGAGTAAAAGTATGACTATTCGTATGTAAGAGATTTACAGAAAAACTCGTGTATCTTCGAAAATTTCGCGGCGCCCCTGTGAAGAGGTCGCGGCTCCCCGAGGCGCAACTGCGCACAGTTTGGGAATCACTGGATTAAGGTGCAAGGGGCCCAAGTTACGTTATCTATCCAGTTTCGTCCTTTTCAGGACGAAATTTTTTGTCATTTGAAGCCCTACTCTGGCTTTTGCCAGGGGCCGCAATATAGGCAGGCCATAAATATGGCCAAATGTCTGAACGCGGTTTCTGGGACCTCTCCACGGCGATCCTCATCCGCATGGTGGCACTTTATGTCATCGGGTGTTTATCGCTTGTGTGATGTCCTGGTGGGGTAGAAAGTCAGTCAGTCAGTCAAGTTACGTTAAAAAGCGTGATAATAATCACCCCCCCCCCCTCCCCCACAGGATTGCAGTCTTTAGTAAGAGTTACAGCGGCCCTGTGCCGGCAGTAATTTTTATTAAATACCTTCGCCCGGCTGGCTAGCGTAGTTGGTTAAACCGGGTGACGATCTCCTTGTTTCGGGTTCAAGGGGGTAGGCAGAAAAGCCACATTGCTCCCAGTAGTAGGGTATCTATAATGAATGCAAGGCCGAATAGTTGCGATATCCATAGTACCTGGCCAAATTGGTTAAAAACTTATGGTTTCTGGATATTGGGGAAAAATTAAATGACTTCAATTAGTGGTCATAATTGGACCTCGTGACACCACACACACGTTACCAAGGTGACCCTCGATTTGATGTGCCAAGTCTATAGAATTAACATCTCAAGAAATCTTTTGCAATTTTTCCTCATTTTAAAGCCCCACTCTGGTCGTTGGCGGGAGCCCTAATATAACCTAACTGTTGAACGGGATTTATGGGAGTTGCGCCCCTGGTTGTCCTCATCCGAATTGTGGCACTTTGTGTCACCAGGTGTTTTATCGCTCGCTATGTGATCGTGGTGGGGTTGAACTTCATTTATTCGACTTCTCCAGGATGAGAATCAGTGAAATCGGGGAAACCCGGTTCAACCGTATAGGCATATATAGAATAGACATATTGGTGCAATACCAAGCGGTTATGGAAGTAAGCTATAGTAGTCCACTGTTATGAGGGTCTGCTGAATCATTGTCTTCTTAGCGTGCACCAGCTGCAAATTCCAGCCGTCAGTTCTGGTTGTTCGTCCACTTCTAGACTTCAGTCTAGTTCCAGAACTTGGTTCTCGCGCGCACATCTGTTTTACAGACGTGACTTAATTGTATGCACACTTCTAGTTCGTCGCCGCTCGGACAGATGCGCTGCACTTAATTTGGAGGAGACCCTGACTAGTCGCCTTTTACGACATGCTTGTTAGGGAGCAGTGAGACTGTCCCCCTCCCCTCAGTGGGGACCCACAAGGGGAGATCTGTGCTAAATAATAATAATAATAAGGTGGTAAATGGCAAAAAATATACGCACACAGATATATATATATATATATATATATATATATATATATATATATATATATATATATATATATGTGTGTGTGTGTGTGTGTGTGTGTGTGTGTGGTGTGTGTGTGTGAGTGAATATAAGAGTTTAAAATAGTGAAATGGGATATTGAAATAATATGAAATAGTAACTATATGCCTACAGTGAGAACTATAAATAGTTAGGAAGGCCGCATAGTCCCGTGAAACATTTTCTGGGACACCCCCTTCCTCCCCTGTTCCGGCGCCCTTGCTAAGCACATATTTTGTTCTCCTGTCTTATTTTTAAACTTGTGTGTTCAGTATTCCGACCAGTATTTGTTTCTCTAGCAATATGTAGAGTTTGTGACTTCATAAAGTGTAGTGCAAGTTACGCAAGAATACGTTATCTCCCCCCCCCCCCCCCCCCCCGACTTCTTGGATGGTTAGAAATGTGTAGAATTTCTTTTAACTAAT